TCAGGCGCAAACATCAACAACAACAACTAACGAAGACAAAATTCCCATCTAGAGCAGCAGATGGTGAGGAGACAGATGTTTGCTGGTACCATAAAACGTATGGGGACAGAGCAAAAAAGTGTGCGAGACCATGCAACTTCAAAGCAAAAGTCGCCAAGTCGTCAAACTACCAGACCAGTTGCTAATGGCGGCGGCAACCTCTGGCCACAACACTTTTAGTCGCCTACATCATGTACAAACATCAAACATCAACAAACATCAACAAACAAAAGTAGTGACAAACAACAACAAACAGCCGCAAAAACAACAAGACACCAAATCAACATTCAACAAACCGTGTCGCCTTTTCTACGTCACCGATAACATTTCGAAGACAAGGTTTTTGGTCGACACAGGAGCCCAGGTAAGTATCATACCTTCACGACAACACCTCCGAAAACCCAAATCTGACTACAAACTGCAAGCTGCAAATGGCACCACCATCGACACATTTGGACAACAGCTCGTAACCATCGACCTCAGTTTACGACGTAAGTTCAAATGGGTTTTCATCATTTCAAACGTCAAACAGGCAATATTGGGTGCCGACTTCTTGTCACACTTCGATATTGCAGTCGACATGAGGAGACACACAATTGTTGACAACATCACGACGTTACAGATACAGGGGGTTGTTGAACGCTCCAATATAATCTCTGGCGTCAAACCATACATTGCTTCGGACAACAACTTTGGTCATTGACAAATTTCCTAAGTTAACGATGCCTGTCAACAACAGCAAAAATGAAAACAAGATACAACACCACATTGTGACTTCTGGACCACCACATCATACGGCCCCACGACGATTGCACCCAGAGAAGTTGCGAGCCGCCAAAGCCGAATTCTAATACATGTGTCAACTCGGAATCATAAGACCATCAAACAGTCCTTGGGCATCACCACTTCATATGGTTGCAAAGTCATCAGGAGATTGGAGGCCTTGTGGAGATTACCGCGCTCTCAACAACAGGACCACACCTGATCGATATCCAGTTCCACACATCCATGATATCGCTCATAGTCTGAAACAGGTGCGATGATTTACGAGGCTAGATCTCGTACGAGCTTACCACCAGTGGCAGAAGAAGATATCCAAAAAACAGCGGTGACAACACCGTTTGGTCTGTTTGAATTTTTGAAGATGCCGTTCGGGCTGAGAAATGCCGCACAGACTTTTCAAAGGTTCATCAATAGTGTTTTGAGAGGGCTACCTTTTGTCCACGCATACATTGACGACATACTAATAGCCAGCAAAACCCTCGAAGAACACAGAAGCCATGTAGAACAAGTCTTTCAACGACTGCAAGACAACGGACTAACCATCAACCCATCCAAATGCGAATGGGCCAAATCATCCACAACATTTCTGGGGCATCAACTCGACAGTGAAGGCATTAGACCCCTCGACAACAAAGTACAGGCAATCATCAATTTTGCTGAACCAACGACTGACAAGCAACTACGCCGATTCATCGGAATGTTCAATTTTTACCGTCGATTCATCCCTAAATGCTCAACGATGTTGTCACCTCTCACTGACATTTTAACTGGCAAATCGAAAACGATAAAATTTAACGAAGGGCAGCAACAAAGTTTTAGAGAGGCCAAACAGGCATTACTAGCGGCAACCAAGTTATGGTACGTGCAAGAAAAAAGCACCTTTCAACTTTTCACAGACGCTTCAGACGTTGCTGCGGGAGCAATACTAGAACAGAAAAGTCAGGGGATTGCAAGACCTATAGCCTATTTTTTGCAAAAATTTAACCCAGCGCAGACCCGCTACAGTACATTTGGTCGAGAACTGCTGGCAGTGTATTCAGCTGTCCGCCATTTTCAACACTTTCTCGAAGGTCAAGAGTTCACAATATTCACTGATCATAAACCATTGACGTTTGCCTTACGTTCAGATTCAAGTCGTTTAACACCAAGAAAGATCAGACACCTGGATTACATCTCACAGTTCACAACAGACATTCGACACGTGAAAGGAGAAAACAACGTTGTGGCTGATGCGCTATCACGTACAGAGGTAGCCACAATAACACCAAAAGCAATTAACTTGGAGGAGATGTCGAAAGAAAAGGAGGATGATGCAACACTCCTTGACAACACAGACTCACTAAAAATCAGCATAATTCCAGTCAACAACTCAGAAAACAATATCGTCGTCGACACCTCGTTGGGCACCCCTCGTCCTCTAGTTCCAACAAGCATGCGGAAATCAGTTTTTCTGAATTTCCATTCCCTGTTACATCCAGGAGCGAAAGCAACATCGAAATTAATTAGAGCCAGGTATGTTTGGCCCCACATTGATAAAGACATCCGTAACTGGTGCAGAGAGTGTCTGCAATGTCATCGACATACAGCTTCACGTCCAGCAGAATTCCCTCCACCAAGCAGCATGTTTCAGCATGTACACATCGATTTAGTCGGACCAATGTCTTCATCAGATGGACACACACACATTTTAACGTGTGTCGATCGTTTCACCAGATGGCCAGTAGCAATCCCCATCAAAAATACTCTAACGGAAACAGCTTAAGGCCTCACTTATGGCTCACGGTTCAGACAAATGGACGGATGTATTACCAGTGACACTATTAGACATTCGTGTAACGGAGAAGAAAGACCTAAAGTTGTCACCAGCAGAACTTGTTTACGGCACAACACTCCGCCTTTCCGGAGATTTTCCAAACCCACGGCCAGAGACAACCGATGTACACACCTATGCATTAAAACTCAAATGCTGGGCGGATACCCTAAAAGCAACACAACCAAGAACAAGTACAAATGTGAGTTACATTCCAAAAGACCTCTTCACTACAGAACAGGTCTTTATTCGTACGGATGCTCACCGCTCACCACTACAACCTCTATACGAGGGACCCTACACAGTGGTAGAACGACACCCAAAATATTTCGTCATTGACAAAAAGGGGCATAGGGACACGGTGGCAGTAGACCACCTCAAACCCGCATACTCACCGGCACCATCAATACCGTCACCCATGCCAACGACCACAGCGCTGACACCACCTTCTACAACACCTTCAACAAAATTAATTCCGTCGTCGAACGACACATCAGCATCAACAAAAACGTCAACGCTATCTCCATCAACGGACGATGACATGCCAACAACAGAAACATCTACGTCGACACAAGCACACCGAAATCGATCCATCGACACCAACATTCCATCACCCCGGAGAACCACAAGTTCGGGAAGAACAGTTCACCTCCCATCTCCATATCTTGATTAGCATCGATCAACAGCTGGCGCTGATGATCTGGTGGGAGAATATTGTTGAACCGCACATCCCTAATCTAAGCATGTGACGAATTACTATATATAGCTTCAACACAAAGA